AACTTTTTTACGATCGATAATTTCCGTTAGAATCCAGACAGTGAAATATTCTCCATCAGATCATTCTTCTCTGAGAATTTTGATCAAAAATCAATTACTGGAAGGGAAAAATGATTTGTTTTTTTGATGAGAAGAAAAGAATTTCAATAGTTGTTCTTTGATCGTGGTCAGATGGAAATCAAAGAGAATGAAAAGATCTGATTTTCAGAAATGATCATCTGTCAGTGACTGAAGGATCAAAGGGTTTTGATTTAATGAAGAAAATAAACAATGAAGTTTTCTGGAGTCAATAAAGATGATGAAAGAATTGGAATTCATCAAAAAAAGAATTCCGCAACAAGTAAATCGTTCAAGTGAAGTTTTATTTATTGTTGAAGAAAAGCGTTTCAACTTTTTAGTTTGAAACAAGAATGAAAAAAAGAGGAATGTCATCTAGTCGAAATAAAATCAATTTCAATAAAGATTCGTCTTTGATTCAATTTATCTCGAATTTTCAAATGAAAAAGAGTATTTTTTTGTTTTCTTCAGTGATGAAAGACAATTCTCTTGTTTCTTCTTTTACAGAAGAACATGCAAAAATTCTACTGAAGAAATCAATTTGATCATTTCACATAATTCTTTGTTGTTGAAATCAATTGTACTTTCGATGAGTCGATAAAAAAAATATTTGAAAAGACTTGAAGAAATGTTTTTGCTAACAATGGAGGTGTTTGTGCTGTCCCCGAGAAAAATACAATCTATTAGCATCAAATGAAGGCCCTCAGTGCCAAACTAACAAGGTTAAAATATAGGCTGCCCTTGGCCTGTCTTAAGGAAGATATTCAATTTTTATTGTAGTCAGATTTGTGTATATAGCAACATTAAGATCATTTTGTATCAATTTTTCATAGAATCGACGGACTATTTTAATGATAGGCTTCGAGAATCTTTTTCAAGCCTATCAATAACAGTACGATGACATTAGCTTTAACCTCTTCTGGAGCTTGAATAATATCAGTATAGATAAATATCAGATAACAGTTATTGAAAGTTTCAGTCCGTCTATAGTTCTTATTTTATTCGAAATGGAAAAAATAGGTTATAGAATAGACTATTTCAATAGATATATTATAAATGTAGATGTAAATCTTCAGTCAAATGATAATAGCATAAAGTATTTTTGCACCAAGCACATTTTAATAATGTTCACGAAAAATGTGCTCAGTTTGCTGCTTCGATGAAAAAAAGAAAAGATGGAGAAAGAACAAAAAGTCTTAAAGGTTCTCGATGTTCCTTTACTACACTCAGTCGTCATTGATGCAATGCACACAGTTTACTTATGTCATGCAAAGAAATTACTTGTTCGTATTCAACCGGTAATTACAAAAGAAAACATCTTAAAAATTAATCAAAAACTTCAATCAATAAACTATATTCATGATATTCTTCGACGACCACGTTCATTTTCAAATGTGAAGAAATGGAAAACGTCTGAAGTACGATTATTTATTCTTTGCATTGGTTTAGCGATATTTGCTGAATTTTTATCGGAAGAAATCATCGGAGATTTAGCACTTTACAATATTATTCTTCGCCTTCTACATGATTATTGGGATAATGATAAAAACTTAAATGATTCAATTGTTTCTTTATTAAAAATTTACATCAAGAATCTGTCGAACAAAGTTGATTGTGATTTATATCCACCAGAATTACTTACGATTTCAACTCATACTCATCTTCATCTCCCGTTACAATGTAGAAAATTTGGTCGTTTAAATTGGTTAACAAACTTTGCATTCGAAAGTTTTCTTGGTTATTTGAAAGCATTCGTTAAAGGTTCATCAGGAGCTGGAAACAAATTGCTTTTGCATTTATTTCAAACTTCTTTATTCTAAAAACACAAGACAACGTTAACCACTCTTTTGGCCGTTTCAAGATCAATGAAGAAACATTTGGTAGTAATATATTAAAAAAAGAGATTAGTGAATCAATAATTAATTTCTTAAATAAAAATGGATTTATTTCTTTCAATACAATCTTTTTTTCTCGCGTTCATTATATCGACATTATGTATCACTCTTTTCTTTATTCTCGAAAGTTTTTTTGTACTCATTTTCCTAATTTATCTAGTTTTGCAATCAAGTCATCCATTTTCTTGCGATCAATTGTCAAGCTCCGTAGTAGTTTAGTGAATAGAAAGCCCCGTGCTCTATTACTACGGCTGACAAAAATCGAGATAAAACGTGTGCACGAAAAGTGTGCTTTTATTGAATGATGAAAAACAAAAAATAAGTGTATAACAAATCTGTATATATCTAGCACTGTACAACTGGACTGAAAAATAAAATCATAAAGGAAAAAGAAGAACTTGGACAGTACGTATATGAAAAAGAAAGAAGGAAAATCACGCATCTAATACACAAAGATATAGAAAAATGAGAATCGAGACTTATGATCTGACAAGGTCATAACACTCTCCCCCTCTGAAAAAGGATGTAACATCTATCCGAAAAAATTAAGGTTAACGTAGAATAAAACAGAAACACAGAAAAATCAATAACAAAAGAGTTGGTTAACGAAAAAGAAATAAGTTTTTATTTTTTGTTGTTGTTGTTTTTTTTTTATTTTATAAAAACAGAAATATGATGAACAGATAGAATACGAATAGGTACAACAAATAGACAAAAAAAAACGGGTGAAATAATAATAACAGAGAGAGAAAAGAAAATAATAAAATAGATGAATTTATAAAACAAAAAATGATACGAAATAATCCTCGCCAATAATACGACGATCTGATGAGTTGGCAAAGCCAACGATTAGTCGACGATGTCCGTTTTCGGTTTTATCCTTGACACCTTTAGTTGAACTAATAACACCAGGAAAAAAAAATATCTGTTAACGGTAACAGAATAATAACGATACGAGAAGAAAGAAGAGTTGAATTTAAAGACGATAATACCCAGACACTACTCTAATGAGAAGTGTCCTAACGAATAGATGATAACGGTCGGTCAGGCCCCCATTGTCAAGCTCCGTAGTAGTTTAGTGAATAGAAAG